CATTTGAGGCCCTAGAGGGCCACATTTGAGGCCCTAGAGGGCCACATGTGGCCTTGAGTTCGCAAGTTCCCCACCCCTAGACACGTTTAGGTGATTTTGGCATAAAAAAAAGAAAAAGCAACCAAAAGTGTTAGTATTAATTGATGGATTAGTTAATGCAGAAATTTTGGAAACTTGGTTTCTTTATCTGAAGAACATGATCTATGGACAAAATCACAGGGAAATTAAAACCCATTTTATAGTATCTACCATGAACGTTTCCAAAATAAGTCAAGTACCAGTGAAGAATTTACATAATTAATTCAATACAGTTTAAAGATTTAATAAGCATTTAAAATAAAAGAAATATTAGCACTTGGAGAATGACTCTCTTAGGCAAGTAGTAAGGGAAAGGCTTTTGCTTTGCAAAGACTATCTGCAACAATTATTTTCCCTAAATTTCAAGAATCAGGACAGATGTACTACCTTAAAATACACTAAAATGAGGTAAGCTTAAATGATTTAAAAAAAAAAAAAGCTCTAGAAGTCAGAATTAGCCTGTTTGGATCAGTCTTTATTTGTACCAAAGACCTCTAAGAGCTCTGGTTCTTTAGAAGGAACGCACTGTCAAAGAAGGGTGCTAGCAGGGAAGGGTCATTTGTTGCAATGCCTACGAGTAAGAGGCACAGGGCATAGCTGCTTCTGTTGGACCTCAATTGGCACGGTAGGTCCCGAAATGATTTAATTTCTTGAGTGCACACTAGGATGAGGCTAAGTGACATTTTCTATAGCTTCATGTAGTGTTGGAAGCAACCATCCGACGTACCTGACAGCATGATGGGAGAGATTCTTGGGAGCATAACCAATTCAAATACTTCTCCTTCTCTAAGCAGATCCAGATGGGCAATGTGCTCACGCATGCATACACACACAGATACACATCCACACTCAAAAGAATCGCATGAGGCCAGAGTACCTTGTGTCCCAGCTGGGCTGCTTCTCCTCGAGCTGCTGTAGCAATGGGGTCGATAAGGTGCCCAATTTCCTGGACCACTGATGTCAACTGCTCCTGCAAAGCCTGATAAGGAAAGGCATCGTCAAGTTCTCCTACGATTTACTCACTGGACTGCCCTGGTTCATAAAAGACAGGTGCGCATAGCGATGAAGGCCCACAACTGGATCAACTGGATGATCACAACGGTGCTGGCTCTTTAAAACTACTCACTCGGAGTCATCTCTGCAGCAAGGGTTCACACTCCTTGTGGCCAGCAGCCTCCCTAAGCACTCTGTACAAGGTCACAGGTGGGTCTCCATCTCTGTTTGACAGCCCCAAGTTGCCTCCTGTTTGTTTCCAGCCACAGCTGGCAAGGTATAACAAGTAATACCCTCATTTTCATTTTAATATCATTAGATTATTCAGGAAAATCACTGAAACTACTGAACTAGCCACAAAAGGACCCAGTAAATACAGCCAAAAGGTATCAAAAACAAAAACAGAGAGTTTCTTCTTGGCACTGAAGTTATTGCTCAGCTATCTTGGAACTAATTTGCTAAATTATCAAAGATAATTTAGAGACAGAGACAGAGAGAGAGAGAGAACACAACTATGAGAGTTGGGATTCATTTCCAAAATACTATGCTGGAGACTGTGCCCAGTTATGTGCCAATTATGGATTGTTGGGGCAGGCCCAATAAATTCTCTTAGATGAGGAGGCTGTAACCACTAAGAAACACCCAAAAGTAATTCTTCTGGGTTTAAAAAAAAATCTCAGTCTCAAAGATTTGAACTGGATTCTGGAAGAATTCCAAAGTTAGAACAAGATTTTGGTATCTTTTCTTGTAACCCCAGAGAACCCATAAAGCAAAGTCTAAATTGTTGATGATTATCTAAGAAGTATGAGATTACTAGGCAGGAATTTTCATTTAAAAAAATACATGTCTTAGAAATCTGAAACACTGAGCATTCACTGCTTGCCTCTATGCACACATGTGCACAATGCCAGATGATTCAAGGCAAAAATACATGGTGACAATGTACTGCTCATCAGAAAGGAGCCTGGCCTCTGTGGTTGGCAAATTTGCCAGAACTTTGTTGTATATGAGTCTTGTGCTTAGGAGATCTGTGCTCATTGAAAGTAATGAGAAAAACAGCCTATGGAATAACCACAAAAACATCCTGGGAAAGGAAAAAATGGCTTCCAGGAGGTTTCTGCTAATTGCTTGTCATCACAATGACAAGTACATCCACAGTCTGACTCTAGCCAAGAACAGCAAAACATTCCAGATACACTGAGCTGCTACAGATGGGTCATGAAATGGAGTGGGACACAACAGTGGAGGGCATGCACTTGGAGAGATGTTTTTTCTGCCCAAAAAAGCCTCCAAACCCCAACTTTTTAAAGCCTTTCATGACTTTGATTTAGAAAGCTAATGAGGCATTTCAAATACCATAAAGAAACCTCTTAGGGGGCTGGCAGTCCTCACCTGGGAAATGAGGACCAGGTACTCTCTCTCTTTAGTTTTTGTATCCCAAGCACCTGACACAGCGCCTGGCACAAGCTTGTCGACTGACTGATTTAGGTTGGAATGAGAACCAGAGTAAGCTGAAAAGCCAGGCTCTGGTTGGTACCGTCCTATGGAGGCCTTTCCTGATCCCTACAGCCCCTGGTGCCCTTTCTCCTAAGCAACCTTTTGTATTAACTACCCTGTAAATACTAACTTTAAGTTTATCTTCTCTATTTTTATGTGGACTTCTTGTTTTCCCCATTAGAATACAAGCTCTTTGAGAGTAAAGCTTGTTTCATTTGCTGTACTTGTGCCTAGCACAGTGTCCGGCATACAATAGGCACTTAATACTTGGCTGATTGATTGATCTATTGAGTGACACAATATGAGGGCTTGAGATGAATGGGAAGACTAATTTTGCCAGGACAAGGATCCAAGACCAGGACGTCCATATTACGTTAGGAAGCCAAAACACAGGCAATAACCATTTGTTTGCCTCAGCATGATGCTCCAAAGCTTCCATTCTTTCAACTGCAACTTCTTGCATTCCTAGTCCTCACCTCCAGTGCCAGCAGGCTAATTTGGCAGACTGCCTATACCTCATTCAACTTCCCTTGTCATACCATGGGCTCATATACAATCTCTTCCTCCCATGGCTTCTTGAAGTGACTGGGTCCATTACAAATTTATGCCAGCTAATCTCAACTGATCCCTCACTACAGCAAGGCAATACTTCTATTTCTCTGTATTTGATTCTGTGTAACACTCATCACAGCAGCTATTACCAACTTTTTCTTCTTTTAAGCTAATCAGACCACTCTTGACCTCTTCTCCTCCACCCTCTCCCTGAATTCTCTCTGAAGAGTACCTCACTACTTACTTTACTGAGAGAGGTCATTCTTGAGAATTCCCTCTTACCCCTTCCTCCTCATCTCATATCCTTCTGACACCTTCCCCCACAATCTCCTCCTTCACCCCAGTCTCTGATGATGAATTCACCCTCTGCTTGCCAGTCCTTCTACATGGACCCTTGATCCCATCTCCTCCCATCTCCTCCAGCATGATGATTATCTAAGAAGTATTAGATTACTAAGCAGGAATTTTCAATTAAAAAAATACATGTCTTAGAAATCTGAAACACTGAGCATTCACTGCTTGCCTCCATGCACACATGTGCACAATGCCAGATGATTCAAGGCAAAAATACATGGTGACAATGTACTGCTCATCAGAAAGAAGCCTGGCCTCTGTGATTGGCAAATTTGCCAGAACTTTGTTGTATATGAGCCTTGTGCCATTACTACCACTTTCTAATCTTCAGTCTCTCCCTTTCTACTGATTCCTTCCTCATTATTGATAAACGTGCTCAAATTTCTTAAAAAACAAACATACCCTCACTAGATCCTAACAGGCCCACCAGCTATCTCTTTCTCCCTTCCCAGGTAAACCCCTCGACAAATCTGTCTCCAATTGATGCCTCTGCTTCTCCTATCACTTCATTCTAAAACCTTTTTAATCTGGCTTCTGATTTTTATCACTCATCTGAACCTGTTTTCTGAAGTGATCAATGATCACCTACTTAAAAAAGTGCCACGGTGGGTCCAAAGGACTCTACTCTCTCTTCATTCTCCTCCTATATGTCTGACCACTTGTCCTCATTCTATTTTGCTGGCTCTTCATCTATGTCGAGCACAGTTACTGTAGGTGTCCCCTCAAAGCTCTGTTCTGGGCCCTTTCCTCCTGTTTCTTTATTCTCTATTACTTAATAATCCCATTCATTCTCATGGGTTCAATTAGCATCTCTATGCAGAGATTATGCAGAGGATTTTCTAGTCTAGTCTCTCTCCTACATCATTAACTCTTGGCTGAACATTTTGAATCATAATACCTCAAACTCAGCATACACTAAACTGAATTGGTTCTTCATCCCCCAAACTTCCCCCACTGTCTGTGTGTGTGTGTGTGTGTGTGTGTGTGTGTGCGTGTGCGTGTGCACGTGTATCTCATTCTCTCCATTCATAAAACCATTACTTTAGTTCAGGCCCTCATCACATCTCCCCTGAACTATTACAATAGCTTTCTAACTGGTCACACTGTCTCTTCTCCCCTCTCTAATCCAGCCTCCACTCAACTCTCAAAGTAATTTTCCTAACGTGGAGCTCTAACCATGTCACCCTCCTGCTCAGTAAACTCCAGAAGCGTCTTATCCATATCCTAGTTATCCTTGCAGCATAAAACAGAAAATCTTTTGGCTTTTAAAGGTCTTCATAACCTGGCCCCTTCCTACCTCTCCACTCTTTTTACATTCTACTCCTCTCCACATACTTTGTGATCCAGTCATACCAGCCTTCCTGCCATTTCTGTATACGATATTCCCTCTTCTGTCTATGCCGTGCACTAGCTTCCATGCCTGGAAGCGTCTCTCTCTCAACCTTCAAATTTTAGAATGCCTGGCTTTCTAGCTAGCACTTATATAATTCTTGAAGGTTTGCAAAGCACTTTACATAGATTAACTCATTTAATCCTCATAATAGCTCCATGAGGTAAGTAATATTATTAGCCTCATTTTACAGATGAGGAAATGGAGACACAGAAAGATTAAATGAATTGCCTAGTGTCACACAGCTTGTTAGTAGTGTCTGAAGTAATATTTGAACTCAGGTCTTCCTGATTCCAAGGCCCAAAATCTATCTACTGCAATACCTAGCTATCTTTAAAAATCAGTTCAAGCACTATCTTCTGTAGCAGGCCTTTCCTGGTCCCTCTAACTGCTAATGCCATTCTCTCATTCTACATTCATTTACCTCTATATTTATCCTATATGTTTGCTTTTCCATTAGAATGGAAGCTCCTTGAGGGCAGGGACTTTTCTTGGTTTTTCTTTGTATTCCTAGTCTGTATAGGCAATAGTAAGTACTTAATGAATAAGAAATCCTTAGTACTTAATAAGTATGTAATGAATAATTACTTAATAAGTACTTAGTACTTAATAAGTACTTATTTAGTACTTACTAAGTAAGTATTTACTTAGTAAGTACTTAATAAATGCTTATTGATTGATTTATGTTGGTTCCCAAGTCTTTTCCTGAGGTTCATAACCCTGTCAATCCACTAGCAACTTCATGAGTCAAGAATATATTGATATAAATACAGTCTTTCATTTTTTTCTGTTCTTCCACAAGTTGCAGTGACAGATAAGGACTCAGAGAGCAGAGTTAGGGAGTTGAGGTGACCCTGTTCCACAGGATAGAAACAATAAAGTGGGTGGCACCAGTTTTTAGGCTATCAAAGGACTACCTGAATGATGGAGAAGGAACGTACTACTCTTTCCACTAGTTTCTGGAAAGGTCTTCTTACGCACAGGTTGTGGACGAAGAGTCCTCTATGCTCAAAGGCTCTTTCCAAATGGCAGAAACCCAGCAGGCACAGCTAACACACTGGGTGAGAAAGTCAAGATGCAAAAATAGCCTGCTAAAGAGGCTAACAGATTGGGAGGAATCTAATAAGACAAAATTTAATAGTTATAAATGTAGTACATTTCATACTGGGGTTCTAAAAGTCACTTTTTCAAGTATTAAGATGGAGGAGTGTTTATATAGCAGTTTGTCTGAAAAAGACCAAAGGTTTTAGTGGATGACAAATTCGTATGACTCTTAAGTGGGAGATGGCAGCATAACATAACAATAACTGAAAACTCTAACAAAAACTTGGGCTGGCATAGGAAGGACAGCTTTCAGGAACAGGTAAGCGTTAGTCGAGCCGTCTTATTTCCTGAGTCAGTCAATGCTTTTATTATTGTGTTTAGTTCCGGGTGCCCACTAAGGAAGGACACTGACAATCATGAGTTTCTAGGGGATGATAATCACAAAGTTGAGGGCCTTGAGTCTATGTCAGCTGAAGGAATGGATTCCTTCTCACTTAATGTCTTTGAACAAAGTCTGGACGACCACTAATTGGGAATGGTATAGTAGGGATGCCTTCTCAGACAGGAGTAGGACTGGATGGCCGCAGAGGTCGCTTTCAAATCTGGAAGTCCGCTTCTCTGCCTCATACCTGGTTCTGACTACCAAGTTCAACCCTCTCTTATTTTTAATTTTCTTCCAAAAAGGAAACATTTCCAAATGTAAACATTTCCAAACAAATCCCCTCATAAATTACATTCCCAGAACTCATAATCAAGCCAATCAGTTGATTAACTAGTAATCTTAACTCTCAGTAGTTGCCAAGAGTCCCTAAAATGCTAGAAAACCCTTCCATGTTGTCCAACAGTGGGCGATTATCATTGAGATAATAACGGTGTAGTTCAGTAGCCAGGCTGCCTGCTGGGCTGAACTGCATAAAAATCAACGTGCCTTGGTTCACCGAGAATTGTGGGTGTAAACAATTTATACTGGGATCAGGAAAAAATTATTAATAAAAAATACTTGTTAAGTGCTGAATACCTACCAGGCATTATGGTCTGTGCTGGGGATACAATGACAGTACCTGTCCTCAAGGAGCTTACATTCTACTGAAAGCCCCGTACACACTTGGCAAAAAAGTGTGAGCGGTTCCACTGACTCTAAGTGGTACCTAATCCAGGTCCTTTAAAGCATGCCTGGCACAAGTCTGTCCTTAAGCAAATCCCTGGGGCAGAAGGATGGACAATCCTTGCCTGAGACAGATGAAGCAGGATCCAAGCTGCAAAAAAAGCAAGTGTGATAAGAAACCTAGCCAACTTGGTACCAGAGTATTTGTGAAACAATGATATTCAAGGGACTGAGAGAAGAAGGAAGATGGTTAGCCTGAGTAGAGATTCAAGGCCAGGGAACTGCAACAGATCTGAAAAGACAAAGAGTGTCAGGGTCTTGACCACTAGTCTTGACTCATGGATTGCTTTTTGTCTATTGCATCCTTCACCCCCTACTGGCCCTAATGTACCAGAATGATTGTTGGCTAGAAATGTCATGTCACAATGGGCTTCACCACAGAGGGTGGACATAACTCAACTAATGCACCACCATCTATAGACAGAGTCCTAGTGCAACAGTCTCATCTGGGAAAATTAAGTGGCAGGTAGAGATGAATCAAAGGAAACAAAGGTAGACATTAAGGGCACTTAGAAGGAAAAAACAACAATGGAAAGAAAAGGAATTGATCCTCTCCTAAGAAATGGAAAAAAAAATTCTACCTCCGAGTTTTAGGAAAAAGCAGCTCAACAATTTACAAGACTGATAGTGTAAGTGGATAAGGGCTTCCTGGTAACAGTAATAGATGAAAGGCTGTATAGCTAATAATCTTATGGTAAAAATGTTTAGCTCAGTTAGGTCTGCCTACATTTGAGTTTAATGCAAAACCAGATAATTTGATCAATGCATTTTTTCCCCCAGTTAATGCACATAGATACATTCAAAATTTATGTCCCAAGGTCTGCTCTGATGATCTTCTAAATTGAATTTAGAAAGCCTGGACTAATAACACACTCCATCTTTTTTTCAATTTCTAGTGTCTATTGTTTTCCATTTTCACAATCTGTACCTACCACTGGTAGGAGCCATCTTCTCAACCTACTCAGAGAGAAATCCTGGTCACATGTTAATTTCAATTTTCAACAAGCAGTATACCTACTTTCCTTCCTTCCTTCCATCCATGATCCATTGATTATTCCTTGCTCAATAGCTACCCTAGCCACTCCACTCCAGGATTAAGTACCTTAAATTTACCACAGGAAGAGACTGAAGCAAAAAATATTTTTTGTCTTCACAGTCACATAATTTAAAAGGGAAAAGGAACTTCAAAGATAATCTAGTCTAATCTGTCCCTGAACAGGAATCTCTTCTACGACATCCTTAATGAGTGGTCATAGAATGCCTACTTACAGACCTCCAGTAATATGGAACCCACTGCCTCTTAGTTCACTGAACTTTAAGATAGCTCTAACTTGTTAGGGAAGTTTTTCCATATATGGAGCTCATATCTGTTCATTGACAACTTTTACACACTGCTCCAAAATCTTCCCTGTGGGGCCACAAAGAACAAATCTAACCCCCTCTTCCATACTTGAAGAAAGCTACCATCACATGTCCTTATCCCTTTTCATTATTAAATAAAGAGATAAAACGAGATAATATTTGTAAAGCATTTTGCAAACCTCAAAGTGCTATAAAATGCTAGCTATTATTATTATCAATAGTATTATTATTATTACTATTCCCAGATACCCACATGTTTTCTAATTCTTTTAATAGCCAATATATATGAGCCTTGAACACTGTTGCTACTAGACTATGTTATACATATATTATATATAACATTATTATAGGTATATACATATACCAATCATATACATAAGATTTCAACAAGTATATTCCCTTCAGTTATTGAAGTACAAACCCTCTTTATCTCAGGAGACAGTTTTGATGAGTTGCGGCTGGAAAATGTTATCACTCACTGGCTAGCCTTCTCGAGATGAATTTCTCTATACATAGCAAGATTGTTTCTTAGGCAAAAAGCATACAGTCTACTGCTGGGTGGCACAATGGATGGATCATTAGAATTGGAGTCAGGAAAATCTGAGTTCAAATTCTGCCTCAGACACTTTCCAGCAAGCTAGCTATGTGATCCTGGGCAAATCACTGGGAATAATAACAGCACCTACCCCACAGGGTAGTGGTGATCCTCACAGGTAAGGACAAATGAGATTATTTAAAGTACATGTAAAGCACTTTGTAGACCTTAAAGCACTACATATATGTTAGCTGCTACGGCTGCTGCTACTAGTACTACTGCTACTAGTAGTACTAGTACTACTGTTACTTGTATTACCAGCACTACTGCTACTAGTACTACTACAAACTTCTCCAGAGATTGCACAGAGCTAATACAGTTTTGAGACTCAAGGGCACAGCCACACAATGAAGAGGATTTAGGATCTCAACACTAGATCTCTCTACAACATTCTAGTCTGTAGGGGATAAACGGAGTAATTTCTATTTGAACAGCAATCATTACCTCTACTGAGATGTCATCCCTTGTGGCTAAGTTCTGGCTGACAGCAGCCAGAGAGGCCTGCTCAATATCTCGGATACACCTATTGATGCCATCAATGGAATAGTCACACTCTCTCTGGCCTGGAGCCTTATCCCTGAAACAAAGAGAACCTTTTTATTAGGAGAAAAGATGAGTCCAGTTTGCTTTGGGACATCACATTAAGGATTAGTGCTTTGGGAGTCTCTGATCACATGTCCTCTTTCATTATGCTATTCAATAAGCAACAGATTCCTCACCATCTTTCTCTAATACCTTCTTGTAAATTCGAGTTATGTATTATCCCTGGAGTAAGGCTCTTGGGACACCCTGCCTCACCAAGATGAAGGAAACTGTAGGAAACTGTCCTCAACTTGGGAGGAAATCGATACCAGAAGAACACACTCTATTTCAGGAAGTTAATAAAACCCTCTTTAACCTTAATTGCCCAAATATTCCATGAATGGCCAAATACTGGGGATACAGGCTAAGACTTCACATAGGTTTAAGTATAACACCATTATAAACGTTAGCCTCAAATCCGACCTCAGACACTTACTGGCTGTATTGCCCTGGGCAAGTCTCTTAATCTCTCTGTGCCTTAGGTGTAACCTTATCTGTAAAATGGGGATGATAATAGGACTTACCTCATAGGGCTGTTTCGAGAATTGAAATAATATATGGAAAGCACTTTGTGAACCCTAAGGCATTATATGTTAGCTATTATTATTATTATTTTTGTGAAAGGTGAGTTCTATTTCTAGTGCAAATGAGCTATGTTATACACTACTGAGGGAACCCCAAGTTGTATTAAGGATAAGAATAATACCTAATGGATTTTTCTTTGCATGGGCTTCTAAATTTCATAATGCTGATTAAGAATATTAAGCAGGAAAGTGCTAGCCAATTCTATGACCTTCTCAAGTAAATAAGAAACAAAGTGTAACTGTGTAAGAGGAGAGATTCATTTAGTCCCTCTGTATAGAATTAAATCTAAACTGTTTAAAAATATAATATTCTAAGCAAGGAATGTTAAAAGTCCTAATAAGGAGATGGCAGAGACAGAGACAGCCACAGTTTTAGCAGGACTCCAAATATTCACATGATTTTACCAGAGAATTAGATTAAACCCTAAACTTCTGTTTCAGGGCAGAACAACAAATACTGGTTATCCTTGCCTGAGTATCTAGGTGACACAGGTGATAGACAATATTGGCACCCAGATAAAATGATATCACAGTCAAATCCTAGTTTAAATAACAGGCCAGATGCATTTGGTGTTGTGGAAAGGGCACTGGACTTGGAGCTGGGAGGATGTGATTCCAGTTCCAGCTCAGCCACTAATTAACTGCATGACCTATAGCCAATCAGTTGATCTCAATCTTTCCACCTATAAAAAAAACAGGGATGATAATGCCAGCAATACCTATAACACAGGACTGTTTCAAAGGATTGTTTCAAAAGGTAATGGACCTAAAGTAATCTGAAACTGTAAATCACTATATAAATAAAAGGCATGATTATTATACTACTGGAAAACGAAGGGGAGCCGTGGTGAAAATCCATTCGGGAGACACTTACCTGATGGAAGTGATGAGGCTCTTGATGGAATCTGATACAGTATGAGAATGTCCAGCAAGGACAGACCAGGTGGGTGGGTCTTTAGGATTGATGGCCAAAGAGCGAGCAGTCCTGATCAGGAAAGATGAACTCTCCAACATGGTCTTGGCTGAGACTAGGATAGGTTCCTGTGCCCGAGATCCCTGGGAAAAATAAAGCAGTGGGGTTGTTGTTAGTTTAGGAATGATGCAGTATAAGCTAGGGACAGAAAAAAATTCCTTGAAAGTGACATATATTAAATAGATGCATCTACATAGCCTTTCAGAATTTGGAAGAAAAATCAGTATGTTAGATGGAGTAATATTGGTGAGGACAAGGTATCTGTACTGACAGGAAGCTCTCTTACGTCTGATGGTGGATCAGGTCCTAAAAAGATCTGGGGGTGTTGAGTGGGAGTCACTAATCAAGAAAGAAGACTTTTGCAGGGTATCAGTATAGCAATCCATGCTATAATCTTCTTACTGATATATAGACAGAGATAACAGCACCCAATGGATATATAAAACTAGTATGCATGTTATTAAAAATGGCTCACAGAGCATCACAGGACTATAACCTTTAACATATGCTGCATGTTGAGTAATATATGTGCAATCAATATAATTAATTATTCATATGATTATCTGGGGCAGCTAGGTTGCACAGTGGATTCAGGAATGGCTTGGATTCAGAAAGATCTGAGTTCAAATTTGACCTCAGGCACTTAACTAGCTTTGTGACTCCAGGCAAGTCACTTAACCCTGGTTTGCCTTAGTTTCCTCTATGTAAAATGAGCTGGAGAAGGAAGTTGAGCCTTGAACACTTCAAGGCTCAGCATCTCTGACAAGAAAACCCCCAATGGGGTCACAAAGAGTCGGACACGATTAAAATGACTGAACAATAACAACACATGATTATCTGGTTTGCAGGTTATCTAACCCGTGGGATTTTTCTCTCCCCTACTGTTTACTGACATCTAAAAGGGGAAAGGAAGAATTTGAATACAAATGTGATAATTTTACTATTTGTCAGCAGCAGTTGTAAATGTGAGAAACCTCAAAACTACTATATGAAAATGAGAGTTTTGAATTATCTTTGTATTTCAATGGTTTGTACTATCCCAGAAGTACAAGAAATTGAGAGATGGTTATGGTTACATATTACTTGTAGGTTCCAACATGACTATTCCATTTTCCTTTTCTTTCCCACTGTCCTACCCCTCTTCTCCTCTTTGGAGAGTAACATCAGAAAGTTTGTACCCTTTCAAGTTGGGATACTGAGAAGCATAGTGTTGCATGAAGGTCACGGAACTGGGAGACAGGAGCAGCAGGATTCTGTAGCCCAAGACTTAGGTCATGCATCCCAGGAAAGAGAAATAGAAAATAATCCAGAATCATGTTTACAGATAAAAGTTTCATGAGATTATAAAATGAAGATTTCCATTCTGTAGCAAAGGTCTTTGGGATCTCACTAGCCATCCAGATTCTACTGTAGTAGGTGATGTATTCTAGTGATGTTTTTTTGCTTTTCTCACATAAAAAGTTAAAATACTGAATATCACTTCCCTGACTACTGATACTGAAATTCACCCCTGAGCAGGACAAACCAGTCTTTCTTGCAAAGAGTCTGATAGCTTATCTGGGACCATGGGAGAATTAATGTGCATAGCTTTCGTTTTCCTGGGGGAGGAAAGACTACTGACTTACAAGGGTGGTATGGAAAGAACTATAATATGGTCATGTTGTTTTATCTCTAATTGTTTGTAGTTCTTATCATCTACCTTAAGAAGTCTCCAATAAGAAGACTTGTATGAACTGATGCAAAATCAAAAAAGGAGAACCAGGAAACAATGTACTCAACGACTTTTTTTCTTAGAAAGGGCTATTTTTCATTACCCAGGACAAAGGGTGCCACAGGAGAAGTATATGAACATTAAAGCCCCAGAGGGTAGAAGGTTTGTTTGAGAAAAGCCTGTTGGTAGATGACAAAAAAAAAAATAAAAATTTGTACAGGTTATATTCTTCTTTCTCTTTTGGAGTCCCTTGGAGTAAACAAGGACTGTAGCATGGCAGATAGGGTATGATAAAACAAGGGCATCTATTACATAAAGGTCTGAGATGTGCTGGGGAACCCAGAGTCTTTGGGAAAAAAAAAAAGCAAGTAAACACAACAAACTCACAGCTTGTTTCTCTGTATTTGAAACAAACAAACACCAACCTCAGATCTAAAATACTCCCAACAACTTCCCCATTTTGCATACTGAAAATTCAGCGTCAAACAGTCATTGTTATAACTTCTTAATTTTTCACTCAGGCTAGAATACTATCTCCTTGATGATAACAATAATAAAATTATACTTTGCACATATTTAAGCACTTTCAGCTATTAACTTCTCACATACATTCAACACCACAAATAACTAAACCCAAACCTATTTTTTCTTGCCTCCTGGAAACCCCCAAAGAAGGAAAAAGGAGACACGTCCTACCTCAGAGCTGATCTGGGCTGGAATGCTGACGAACTCAGGGTTGGAAGCAAATGCTGTCAGATTTTCAACCGCTTCAATCAAGGGCACAGTTGCAATTCGACACTTAGTGCGATTGTCTTCAGAGAAATCTCCATCCAGAGCCTGGTGTGAAGAGAAAATACAGAAGAATTTTCTGTATAATGATATCCAGTGCCTGTCCCTGGGGGCACTAAAACCATTCTGTTTCAAAAGAATGTGATCTGATTTGTTCAGGATTTTTAAAACATTTGGGAAATAAGAGCAAAGAGCTACTGGATACAGGACAATTTTAAGAAACAAAGTAGAATATGCATCTCATGTAACAACTGACCTCCTGAATCATATGGACTACCGTTCCACAAAGGGGAGAATGATACATTCTTGAAATAATGCTCTTCTCCTGGTTTATTTGGAGTATCTCCAAAAACCAGAGCCAAGCACCTTTAAAACTGAATGGAATCCTTTGGAGACTCAAGTATCACAAGCCAACACTAATTCTCTATCCAAAGAAACCTACGGATATAAATATGCCTGTGATTTAAAGGCAGAAGGTTTCCATTCCAAGGAAGCATCTTCTCAACTGGCTTTATACTAAAGTGCCTAAAGATTAAATTAATAAGCAGTACAGAAGCATGTAACCCAATATCCTGGCCCTTTCAGGCATTCTTGACTCCTGTTCCCCAAATCAGCTACTCTGATCAGATGGTATTGCCAAAGCTTGTAGAACAGTCAAGTCTCATGCACTTTCTTATCTCTTGGACTCAGAATTCTTTCATCCTAATCCGTCTGTTAATCTATCCTAATAGGTTAGGAACCTCTAAAAGTTCATAAGATACACTTAGAGCTAGAAGGGACTTCAGAGGCCATCTAGTACAAACCCTCAGTTTACAGTTGAGGAGATTGAGGCATCGAGAGGTTAAGTGCCTTGTTCCCAAGGTCACATGAGTAGTGACTGAGAGATGATGTGAATATCTCCAACCCCTCTGACTGTACAGGAAGTACATTCTCTCCTTTACCACACTGCCTCTCATCTCATAGAACAAGGTTCTTAACCTAAAGAATGTGGATCAATTTTAGGGGGTCCATGAACTTGCATGGGAAAACAATGACATCTTTATTTCAATGTAATTTATTTCTTTTTTTAATCCTATGCATTTTATTTTATGCAATTAATAACATTATTCTGAGAAGGGGCCTATATGCTTAACCAGACCTCAGAGGGGTTTATGACACAAAGACATATATCCAATTATACCCTAGGGCAATTTTGGTAGACATGGATTCGTTGTTGAAAGAACTCACTGATTCTTAGAAACTGAGATATGGAAATCATCTGGTTCACCTTTTTCATTTTAATAGAGAAGAAATGGAGGCCCAGGGAACCAGAGTCACTTGCCCTGTTACAAAGGTACCTGCTAACAGAGTACATTCTAGAACCCAGCTTCCTAGGCTACCAGTCATTCTCTTTTTCTGCTCTGCCACACTCACTCAGAGACAACTGTAACGAGGTTCAGAAATAAGAAAAGACCACAGTCAAACAATTTTTTTTCTTTTGCAAAATCCACTTTAAATGGGGAAAGCAAGAAAGAAGAGAATATACTTACAGCCATGCCACGTACTATCAAAGAGGGAGCAGAATCATTTGTATTGAGTGCACAGTGACGATGTTTAATCTCAAGGGAATGAACTAAGTATTGCTTTACGGGGCAAGGCCATGCTCTGGCTTCTTGGAAAAACAAAAGCCACTCTTGCACAATTTTTAGTTGGCATCCAACCAGTGCAACTGCCCAAGTTAAAATAACATTCCATTCCACACATTTAATTTGAAACTAGAGTAACAAGCTGAATGAAGGAAGAAAGAGAAGATAGCTACACAATTTTCTTTGGAGGAGAGTGGGTGTGACTGGTGATGTGTCTCTTATATTTCATTTTCCAATACAAGAAACCCTCAAGACTCAAAGCTCCAGGGTAGTCAATAGATAAAAGGCTTGGTTTCAGATATTCACAACCTTGACAACCTATCGCAGATTCAGTAACCTTCTGTTCCTTGCTGTTTCTACTTTCCTACTCTTCCTCCCCATCCTACCAACTCCTGATTTTCTAACATAAACTGGACATGACCTCATTAAAAAAAGTTTTTTTAATGACTAAAGAACTATTTTCTTTCTCCCACTGCCCCTAAGCCGCCGGAAATAACAAGAGCAACAACAATAAAACTCTTGTAACAAAATAGCCACAGCCAAGTAAAACAAATTCTCCCGTTGGCCCTATCTATCTAAAAAATGTCTCATTCTGTACCCCGAGTCCATCACCTCTTCTCTCAGAAAACCAGTAGCATGTTTCATACTGGTCCCCTGGAATCACAGTTGATTATCCCTTTTTTGATCATAGTTTTTACAGCTTTCAAAGTTGTTTGTCTTTACAAACCACTTTACAAAGTGGTTTGTTGCTACTGTAATGTATAAATATTGTTCTCCTGATTTTACTATGCATTAGCCCATACAAATCTCAGGTTTCACTGAAATCATTTCTTTTATCATTTCGTATGTTATAATAGTATTCCATTACATTCACAGAACTATCTCTTATGGCATAAGAATATTCCAATACTGTCACAAAACATCCCCCCCTCCCAAAACAAAACAAAACAAAAATACCAAAACATTTTTTTCCAGCCATTACCCAACTGATGGAAACCTCCTTTGTTTCCATTTTTTGATACTACAAAAAGAGGTGCTATAACTACTTGTTGTACAAATGCATATTTTTTCTCTTTCTTTAATCTCTTTGGGGTACAGGCCTAGTAGTAGACATACCCTCGTTATTAAAAGGATAATCACCAAGTCTTAAAGATGGATGCCACTTGCTATTCACTGCTATACAACCCTGGGCAAAATAATCTTTGGGCCTTAGTTTTTTTATTTGAAAATCAGAGAATCAAGGAGTTGGATCAGATAACCTCAAAGGACCCTTCCAGTTTTATATCTACAATCTATAGTACAAGATTAGATCGAATTGAGACTTTGTCACTGATGTAATCAGAATAAGAGTAATAAGAAAGTGAAAGCTTTGGAAAGAATATATACATATATACACGAATATATATAATAAGTATATGTCTGCACACAGAGTGCTTCAAGTGAATGAAATCAGAAAATTTTAAAAAGTCTCTCCTTCTCAAGAAAGCTTTATAAGTCTATACTTAGTTGAAAGTTCTAGTGCTGCATGACCATCTGTTATTAGAACACTCTACCTGTTTACCCCAAAGGAATCTCAAAATCAACATGTACAAAAAAGACCATCACCAAACTTCCTAGTTTGTGTTGAAGGAAATACCGTCTTTCCAATCACCAGGGTTTGTAACTCTGAAGGCATCCTTGATGCTTTGCTTTTACTCACTCCTCTAATTATTTGCCCAATCTTGCTGAGTCTAACATCACTTCCCTTCTCTCTACTCACATAATCACTTGCAAGCTTGTCTTTTAGGACATCACCAGTCTCATTTACTGAAGTGAGTTGCTATGAGAAAAGTGACATCCCTAGAAGAATCTGAAAGGAACTGTAAGAGAGAGGTTTTGCATACAGATTACTCAGTGTTTAAAACCAAGGAAAGATGCAAAGAAGAGCCACTGGAAGCTAAAGAGAATAAAAGTCCTCTTCATTTTCCCTTAACTTAGTACAGCAATATTTTAAATTTTACAGAATGTATACATTTTATTTCATTTTTTTCCAGATTAGTTGATTTTACATCAGCAAATGTCATCTATGGACACCAACAAAACACAAAGAAACAACTAAAGAAGGGACATTTGGCCAGATTTGATTTGGAAGATCCTACCTATGGAACTGGTGTAATAGTATTCCATTACATTCATAGGACATATCTCTTATGGCATAAGAATATTCCCATACTGTCACAAAATATTTATAGGAAAGGGGATTACAGATGTAACTCATGACCTAGAGGCAATGCATTTCTCTGTTAAAAAAACTTGCCTCTTTCCTTCTTCTACATGTTTCCACTTATCCTAATCTTTGTTCCATCAGGAAAAAACAACAATACTATTTCTGTCATATTACGTATGTCAGAAAAGATTTCACCTGCCCTTCTCTGTACTTTTCACTTCCTCCATTTTATATCTATTCTTATGGTCTCTAGAAAGAGGAAACAAATTGGCTTTCAAGAAAACCCTGGGATAACTTTTTTTTTCCCCATGGAATGCGGCTTGAGGCCTTTACTGTCTCTGAGCTCCCCCATCGTCAATAATCGGGAAATCTGCATACATTTGCTACCCTGGGTGACGTATTTTCTGCAAAGATATAGATCGTAGACACACTTTTTTTTTTAAATAGAACTGAACTTTTCAAATACATTTAAGTAGAATTCTATGTAGTTTTTAGTAAATATATACATATATACATGCATATGTATGTGTATGTGTATATCTATATATACATATACTATATATATACATATATACATATATACATATATCTATATATCTACATATATATTGATTTCTCTACAATCTCCACCCTTCCCATTATAAGTAGACAGAATTTCAGGCTGTTAATTCAGCAAAACTGGCCCACATGGATATGAAATTAATGAATACCCTAGCTGGAAATAAAACAACTTTTCATGGGTGGAAGTATTAACATTGAGAGCAAAACATAAATCTGGCATTCAGAGACTGAGCTATATTGTATGTGTGGCATATATTGTATGTATGTGGGGTAGAGGGGAGGAAAAAGCTTCAGAAGACGGTTCAGTGACCTACCTTGATGGTTTTCACCAGGTTGGCAGTGCTGTTGGCGACCTCCTTTGCTGATTGAACAAAATGCCTCTTGGCCACTGGGTTGGCTGTCTTAGACGAAGCGATGCGACAGGCATTACACAAGGCAGAAGTGTGCTTGGCGACAATTGTAGCAGCTGACAAAACCTATAAAAGAGAGAACCTGAGTGCTGCAGGGAATCTGGTTCATAAGCTTTGCTTTGAAAATCTAGATTCCAAATGAATCAGCTCACAGATACCAAAGTTGATTTCAGGTCTACTGACATTGGGTTCTATTGTCTCACAGGGTGATGGGGTTCCATGGGTTCCATAGCCTCCTGCCAGCAGGAAGGGTAGGAATATGATAAGAAGGGAAGGAAGAGAGGAAAGAAGGAAAGAAAAGGGAAATAGAAAAAAAAATGACCCGAAGGAGACAAAGAGGGAGAAAAGAGGTAGAGGTGCCAAGGATTTTGACATGCTGTAGTATGGGGCTATCAATACTGACTTAGGCATCACTGAGAAACATACATGACTTTTTTCTTTTCCACTGGAATGGGGCTTGAGGTCTTTACCATTTCTGAGCTTCCCTAACATCAACTGCTGAGAAACCTGCATACAATTGTTACCCTCTGCTGCATATATTCAGTATGTACCCCTCCCCACTCCTTAAACAAAACACATGGAACTAGTTCCACATATCAATCATTCATTCAGGGTCATAACTAGAGTGATATAAAAAATGGAATCAATCAAACTGGGCTTCTAATTATAAATGCAGAGCTGAAAGTAGACATTTCTGCAACTCGGGTAAGTAGCAAAAAATATACCTGGGGTAAACAGGGTGAAACATGGCAAATACTGCTGAGGAACCTGTATGGGACATGGGGGTGGGGGAGGGGAGTTAAGGAAGGATTCCAGGTAGGCAAATGGACCAAGGGAGTGAAGGAAAATGGCTAGCTTCCTACTTTAACTAATTATTTTTACTAACCAGGAGCCAAGCTCAGCTGTTTCTATGCTGCTGAAAGATTCAAAATACTGACAGCACCCACTAGATTTCAGCACTCTGAAACAAATTCCAGCTGCATCACCCTAGTTATAGCTCTATACAGATGCAATGAGGTTAAAGTTAAAATAAAAGGCAGCAATAAAAGAGCAAAAGAAGAGGAAGAGATATTTACAGAAAGGCAACATGTAGCTTAAGAGGTACTGATGGAAGGTAGAAGACACAAAATGTTGCTAAACTGGCATTACCAGCAAACTTGATTGTTTTTAAGTTAGATGTTGCTGTTGAGTCATTTCAGTTGTGTCTGACTCTTTGTGACCCACTTTGGGGTTTTCTTGGCAAAGATACTAGAGTGGTTTGTGATTTTCTTCTCCAGTTCATTTTATAGATGAGGAAACTGAGGCAAACAGGGTTGTGACTCACCCAGGGTCATACAACTAGGAAGTGTGTGGAGCCTGAACTCAGGTCTTCCTGACTCCAGGCCTGACACTCTATTCACTGAGCTACCTAGCTGCCCCCAGTGCTGCCTAAGTATCATAAAGAAACACAGGACACAATACTCCACCCTTCCCCCGACCCCCTCACTGCTGATTTTATTTTATCTAGGCAATAACAAAGGTTTTCTATTTTCTAACATATCATTCTTTAATTTTCAATCTATAACAAGTTTCAAGGACTCCCAGATTCATCTAGAACACTGCACTGTTTGAATCTGGGATGTGCAACATCTTCACCCCACCTTCACAATTCCTTTTACCTAGCTAGGATATAGTACGGTAGGAAGTTGGATGCCTCGGTAAAGCATTTTTCACATTGCTCAAAAGGGTTACCTGTGATGGACTACTGCCTGGGTCCACCAGATTCTGACAAGCCATCTGGATCGCCTGATTAGCCCTAGCAAATTGGATGTGATCTACAAGACCCTGGTGGCCGGCCTGACTGTTGGGATCAGAGATGCCAACGAGGTAAGCAGCCTAGAACAAAGGAAGGAAACAAGTGTTTATTAAGTGCCTGCTATGTGCCAGGAACTATGCTAAGCAATCTACTAATATGATCTGATTTGATCCTCACAACAATCCTTGGGAGGTAGGTGCTACTATTATTACTCATTTTATAGCTGAGGAAACTGAGGCAGGCAGTGGTTAAGTGACTTGCCCAGGGTCACACAGCTAGTAAGTATCTGAGGCAGGATTTGAACTTAGGTGTTTCTGATTCAGGACCAGCTCTCTGCACTAATGCGGCTACCTGGCAGCTTACTGCAACAAACACAGTTTCAGCGGTATTTTTTGCATAAGACCCATGCTCAGCCTTCCAAAGGCTGAGGTTCTAACCTTCCCTATCTATACTAGAGGAAGTTGACAAGTTCTACAGCCTCAGTGTCCTCAGTTGTTAAATAGGGATTGTGTTATCTACCTCATGAGGCTACCAAGAGATAAAAATGGTGACAATATTGCCAAAAATGATAACAATATCCAAGCTATAAAATATTCAGCCCTAGCTGCTGACATGTTTGGTGAAAATCGGATATAATGAAAATGACTGAGAAATGCTGATTCAGGTACAGTACAGCATATACGAAATCACTGAAACATTTTCTGGAGAGGAAAAAAAAAGCATTTAATCCATAATGAGGTATGACTGTTTCAAGAATATTCCTGATAATTGAGTGAAAATATTCCAATTCGTACAACCCAGAAATATGCATGGCACTGACTGTCGTATACTCAGATAATTAGAAGATTTCTTTTATCCACTTCAACTTTCCAAATTCAAGACTGATGCAAATCCTCTCTGGGGAGGACTCATGGCAACAGTGGAATTTTTTAGGGTCAGTTAAGGCAACCAAACAGTTATTTAAAAAATTCACAAGATGTCCACAGTAGAAGGAGCAGGGGTGACATCTAATATATTACTGCTGAGTGTCCCAATCTTTTCTCACTTGAACTCTGCTTTTGAACACCAATTAGACCTTGTGATCCTAAGACCTGAAACAATTCAAACAAGTTGTACCTGTTTTTATAAGAACAAAGACATATAACAGTAATTGCAATAGTTCAAAAACCACTTTAATATATAATATTAAACCACTTTAATATATAATATTAAATATTATATTTATATAATAAATATAATACAAAAATATATTATAATAAATATAATATTAAAATATATATTTATATGTTTATATATTTGTTATTTAAATATATGTTTATTTATATATAAACACAGAAAATATAAATATAAAAAATATATTATAATAAATATATCTAAAATATAATATAAAAATATAAAAATAATATAAGTAATATATAATAATATAAACATATTAAACCATTGGGGGAATATATATAGTTCTGTATTCCCTACTCTCAGGCCATCTCCTGTCTCCTCCACAGGCTTACCATCCACTCTAGAGACAATAAGCCGAAAGAAATGTGCAATCTAGGGTCTCCCTGCACTGACTGATAATTGCTCTTCTGGACTGCTATTTCAGGAAAGTCTCAGCCAATACATTCCCACTCTCAAGGACATCTTTCATTTCCTCCATAGCCTCAATTGCTTTGCAGGCTCCCATGTCTCCTCTAGAAGCAGAATCAAATCACCTCTGCCACTGTTCCTGGATGAGGTGTGTCAACCCACTTCCTAGGACCCCACTCACCCTTCCAGTAACATTCCAGATTAAAGTGCCCTTTCTTTGGCCACCACTCCCCATGTGTTTTCTTCATGTTAGAATGCAAGTTCTTTGACAGCAAAGACGGTTTTTGCTTTTTTCATTTCTCAAGTCCAGCAACTTAGCATAATACTTGGTACACAGTAAATAATAAATACTTTATTTATTCATTCATTCTTTTATCCATCTTGGCCAAGAGCTTCTCTTATCCTCTTCGTTACCATCTTCCGTACCAGCTCAGACAAGAAACAAAAAAAATGTGAAAGATACTACACTTTTGTTGAGCTTCCAACTCTGGGATCTTACAACTAGTAGGAAGCTATAGTTTCAACTCTTTTGTCTGGAAGAGGGACCAGTTCTAGAGCAGAGGTTCTTAACTTGGTGTCCACAAATTTGTTTTTAAAATATCTTAATAACTATATTTCAGTATAACCGGTTTGCTTTATAATCCTATATATTTTATTTCATACATTTAAAAACATTCCAAGAATGGGTCCATAGGCTTCACCAGACTGATTTTTGTGTCTGCGACACAAAATATCTTAAGAACTCCCGCCTCCAGCTTCTTTCTTTCTCTTTTTCTTAGTACACTTTTTGATTTTACATCTCCAATATCTATCACAGTGCCTAGCACATTAAATGCTTTGTTCATTCATTCATTTATTCATCTTAGCTAAGAACTTCTCCTGTCTTCTTGTACCTCATCTTCTCAACTTAGAAACAAAAAATGTGGAAGGTACCCACCCACCCTCCTTTCTTTCTTTCCTTTCTTCCAAAATACAGGGCCTACTCATGAATTTGGCCCTGTGCTCATCAGCATAGGAGCTAACCTAGTTCCCTTCCTCACTCCTGGAAGATCACCAATTAATGCTAAGCTTAGTGTACACACCCGATTACCTTGGCCCACTGCAGTTTGGAACTCCTGAGCTCAAAAGATTCTCCTGCTTCAACCTTAGCCTCCCTAGTAGTTAAAATTATAAGCAAGCACCACACACCTGGCAAAAACCCTTCTAGTGCCACTTTCTCTGGATTGGATTGAATCGTATCCTATCATCTTACTATTAAAAAACCTGTCAATCCTTGCCTTGTGACTGAATGAGGGGTCAGGCTCACATCCTTTTTTTTCCCCCCTGGATAACCTTCAAGATTCTTTTGCAGATCCATGGAAAATGTAATTTGAATCTCAAGTGGAGGCTGAGAATCAATGTCTTACTATACAGTTGGCCAAAAAGGATTTACCTGGGCTGCAGCCTCTGTGAGGCCACAGAGGGCTTTAGATGCAATTCCCACGCATTCTCCAAACAGAGGAAGGTCACCCGTCTTGGCATTTTGAGATATGCCTGCCATCGACTCACCCAGAACCTGAAACAAAGAAAGCGCTGTTCTAGTAACAGTGTGTGCAACAGCCTAATGCTGGCTTAAAATTTTAATCTTCAAGGAAATTTAATTCTATCTTCTTTCTAGTCTTCTCCCTTATTGATAACAATAAAGGGCAGGCAAATTATACCAATTTAGTTTTAAATAGAAAAATGATAAAATTGGGAACATGAAACTTTCATGTCCAAAGTATCTTTTATTCTAATGGAAGAGGGCATATTCATATAAGAGTATCAAAAGTACATATCACTTGGGTGTCTCTTTCTAAGCTGAGAATTCCTAGAGCTGCACATTTCTAGAGTTAAATGTAAGAGCTAATTATGAAGATAAAACCGTTTAATAAATGTTCATTTCAACAGAATACATGCTTCCTGAAATCAGGACCTATCTAATTGTTGTCTTTGTACCACCTAAGAGTAGCACAATCTTGGCACATGGTAGGTACTTAATAAATGTTTGTTGACTGACTGAATCCAATTCAACATCCATTTAGGAAGTGTCTACTATGTGCCAAGAGGTAGGCAGGTGGCTCAGTGGATAGGGTGCTGAACCTGGAGTAATTAAGACCTGAGTTCAAATCCTGCCTCAGACACTTACGAGCCATGTGTCCCTGGGCAAGCCACTTACTCTCTGTTTGCCTTAATCCATTGGAGAAGGAAATGGCAAACTATACCAGTATCTTTACCAAGAAAGCCCAGGGACAGCATTGGTATGCTGTGGTCCACAGGGTCATGAAGAGTCAGACATGACTGAATGTACCAAGAAATTTACTTGGTAGTATCAATGTGCAAGGAAGTATTAAAATCAAAATTTATTTATTACTAGAATAATTTAAAAAAGAAAACAGTAACTATTCTAGATTTTATATTTATATTTACCTTATGTTGGATGATAATTTATTATAAATTTTATATATATACTCAAGAGTACTTAAAAGGGCTCATAGGTGTGGCTAATTCTTCAAGAAAGACTACTAGGTAGGTGTGTGTATTACAATTAAACTTTCTCCACAGGTAGTGAAATGAAGAATGAACATAATTAATTTGCATTTCCTTAGTAAGATGGTGGCACCACCAAATCTATATGCCATTTTAGTGATAAAGATCCTTTAGACAATAATTCCTCTTGCAGTGAGAATAGGTATATGATACTTTCCTAATGATTAAAGGAAAACAACTTTATTTCCTGGATATGCAAAGCAGATTATAAATAGAAAAGCAAAGTCTTAATTATAATTAGAAGGGAATGAAGAAATAGGGCATTTCAGAAATGAACTTCAATGTAGCTGGAAAAACATTCTCTGGGCACAAGAGTCCAAATATCTAAATATATGTACTCTCATATATATTTCTCTCTCTTTCCCTCCCTCCATTTCTTTCTCTCCATGTGCGTGTGTGTGTGTATTAGAGAAAAAGAGCTATAAGTGACCTACAAGACCATTGCATTCATAAATACATTCATATAAACACGTGTATATATACATAAAGATATGTGCACACACGTGTCTGTGTACACATAAAGTCACGGAAGAAGTGATCATATGAATATGTTACTAAGACGCTCCCAGCCTTTGGTGTGTTTATCTGTATGCATGTGTACATACATGTATACACCTATCCCTATCACACGTGAATTACATGTGAACTTACATGGTTCCTTAATTTACACACAAGAACGCTGATCTAGCTACTACAACAAAAGCAATCTTACCTTGGAATTTTCCATTACACTCTCAATGCAGTCAAAATAGGAGAGATCACTAACGGGTTCATTGGGATTATCCAACATTCCCTTAACAGTCTGCAGAAAGAGAACAAAAACCTTGAAGTGTGCCATACGGAATGAAAGTGACTCAACATACTACTGTGAACAAATAATAAATTTTTTTTCCTATACGGAGAGCTCCAGTCACTAGTGTTCATTTCACTTTTAAGTAGGTAAACTTTGAATTCTTGAAGCATGCATATTAAATTATTTGAGACCACTTTTGTTAATCAGATATAGTACTAATTAGACAAGTGCTAATTAAGCTAGAGGTTGATTACTTTTATTGCCAATACTTAATAAAGTAGGGGAGACATGAGGGGATGTGGCAATGCAAGATTTTCCTAGTCAATCCTTTAGAGATGAAAGTACAGTTTAATTTCAAGGACTCAATTCATTGACTTATTCTGTATTTATAACAGATGGGATCTTTCAGCATTTGAACTCTGAAACTTTTTTCCCTTACTGTCTTCATGGGTAGGCAAAGCATGATGAGAAAGGACAATTCATCTGTGACTAGTCTGAGAGAAAGATAATTTAGGTTGGTTGATTAATTTGGTTTTGTTTTTCTTTTTAAAGCCATAAAAAAGTTATTGACTCTTAAACCTCCTGGACTCCATCTGGGAAGATGTTACTTCTCTCTTTCTCTACACGGACACCATGAACTAACCATCACTCTTTTGGTTATCTGTTATCTAAGTCCTGGGTAAGCTGTATTCAAATGCTATCAAGGAGAAAAGTCTAACCTAGACTCCTATCTACTGAGCTAGTGGGGCATATAATAGGGATATATATATAGATATATATATCTATATATAGATATATAGATATATATATGTGTGTATGTCAGAAGCCAATTTTTTCTTCTTAGGATGTCCTGATGATGAGGTCTTAAGAAACATCAGATGGGAATAGGAGAACGTTTATCTGATATAATAGAAGGGACCTCAGAGGTCATCTAGGCCACTTTACAGATGAAGATACTGAAGAGGTCAAGGGACTTGACCAAAGTCACAAATGGCATGCTCTTTCCACTACAACCCAAAGGCATCCATATTCAGTTTAAGGTACAGGAATAAGGGGCAGGGTAAAAAGAATGGTGACATTTAAAGGCAGATGACCCCATTTCTGAAGAGAGAGTGGAAAGAACAATTGTTCTGGAGTATGAGTTAAAAAACTGCCTCTGATGCTATATTGCCTAAATGACCTTGGACAAATTTCTTAAAATATCCAGAGTCTCACTTTCCTCATTTATAAAAATGAGAGGGGTTGGACTAGATGACCTTTGAGGTCCCCTCTTGATCTGTGATCCAATCAATTTAAAAGACAGGTTCCCCCCAAATAACTGAAAACTTAATCAGGCAGTGGATATTATTGATGAAAATAACTCATTCAACCACCTTGCATTCTGAGTAGTTTACAAAAGCATCAGCCCCGAAATAATAAACTCTTTCTGCCTTACTCTGAGTACCAGAGCCTATCTGCTATTATTAACAAGATCACAGAGTATCTCCATTATCTCCATGTACATACAGACAATTCCCTCTGCTTCAGCTACCTGCGGATCAATTATGAAGGTAAAAGCATACCAAATCTCAACCCAGAAGGGTACCTGGTGAGCAGAATCTCCCCAATGTGATTTTTCCAATCAAAAAAAAAATTCTCTCTCTAAAAATAAATTATCAATAGATATTGAACGCTTTGTGGAGCAAAACTCATTCCCCCTTGTTTTCTTCCAATTAATCACTGTTTCTGTTGTTTATAACCACAATCTATTTCACATAGCTTCCACTATTTTGGGCTCAGCTAACCAACCATGTAAATTCCTGCATCATTAGTTTCACTTTTTTTGAAGAATTCACCTTAAAGCAAAATTCATTTAAATAGGATTTATTTTAAATGGACTATTCAGAATCCTATTTTTTTTCTTTTTAAATACTAACTGCCATTATTCTAATTTTGCTTTCCATCCTCCCTAATGAAAGCATCTTCAGATAGAATTCAAGTATGAAATACATTATCAAATAAAATTTATATCTATTTTTTCCTATGTAAAGGGGAGACAAACAAACCTGAACACTTTTTGCCCAAGCCAACTGGCAGATTCAATCAAGATTTCTGTCCCTGCTTAATCACCAGACCACTTAAAAACACAGGGTAGAAGAAAAAACAGCTAAGCTGATGTAACGCTAAGTCACCAAGTAAAGACAAACAGCTGACCCTATGTTTAAGGTGATGAAGTCAATTCTACTTTTCACAAACAGTACAAAAATCATATAAAAGTTCAGGGCCCTGGAGGCTGTGTTGCCCTGGCAAAAACGGGTGTTAAGGTTACTCACAGTTCTTAAACTCAGCTCAAGCTTCTCTCCTTTGTAGTGGGCAGTGAGTGAAGTGACCTGAGCTCAGGGTACAAAAGAGAGTGCCCCACAATTTATCATGAAGTCCTATCGTCTAAAAATAGCAGAAGAATTTGATTTCTGGTATTACATTTTGGAAAAGGCCTAAGGCCTCCACTGGTTTTGTTGAGAAATATGTAGATTTAAATTCAAGGCTCATGGAGAGGGGTCTGAGCAATTTTTATTGAGTAACTGTACATCCTGAGTTCTAGGCTACTACTCCAAGGCCAGGAATAAAAAGCCAATTATAGAGACTACATCACGGGCAAGTGGGAAGTCAGAATTATTTCTGGTTGATTGTGCAATTTCCTCCAGGTGCTTGGGTAATCCCAAGACGTCAGAACTACATGGACCGAAGAACATACAGCCTGAATGATTGACAACCAAGTAGCATCTCTGTAGGGAAATCAAATGTCCATGGAAATACAACCAATTTATTTTTACTGAGATATCCATTTGGTCCGTTTAATATGCCCTCTATCTATAGAATGGCTGACTCCTCAAGAGTTGGGGAGGGACAGGCTCTCATTTATTTTCTGTCACAAATACTTGTATCTTATTCTAAGGTACAAGAGTTAGGACTTCAGACATATCTGCAACAGTATTAGTATCAGGTCGTGGGGAGCCCTAGGACTGATGACTCTGTTCTAACCGTTTTGGTCAAAAAGTATCAGTTTGTAACATCCTACTTAGAGAATCACCCAGAACTCTAGGAAGACAAAACGAACCGGCAAAATGTACTCTGCCCTCAGTAAGTAGCGTGTCCCAGGTGAGCTGTCATTCTCAACTGCCTCAGGATATACCATTATCTTAACCTGCCTCAACCACTTGCTCAGTTTGGGTCTTAGATCCACAGCACCAACCAAAGAGCAGCTGGTAACAACGACTTTCTCCTCCTCTATATATGAGACTCTTTCTACAAAATACATCTCTGCCTAAACACCAGGGTAGAGGCAGTAATGATGCTTCTCTCAACTCCACCAGGAGGAATTCCTGTCCACTAGGATAGGTTACAATTCCCTTCCCAGAAAGACTAGGAAATAAGAAAGGCACAGGGCAGTAATCCTACAAGAAAATGGAAGGATGGCACCTGTCCTTCCACCCTTTGAAATCTCTAAGCATCATCCCATATAATAGTACCTCAAGTTCCCTGAGGGCATTGTCACATTCCTTCTGGCCTGGTGCTTGCTGGGTACACAGTGTGATGAGCTGGTTAATGCTTTCTGTCACAGCTCTGGGAAGGAAAAAAAAATCTTTTTATAAAGATGGATGATGAAATTACTCTTAATTTATTTTTCTGATTCATAAGAAATTCAATTAATTAATTAAGTTGGGTATGGTACCCATTCAAGGCTCTTCTGTAAGCTTTAGGTTCTAAACAAAAACAAAAACAAAAAACAAAACAAAAAAAAGCACAAGAAACATAACTGCGGAAGGAAATTTTCCCCTCAAGCAAAGCAGAAGCATTACCTTGTTTCTGATTATTGGTCTGACTTCTGAGAGGAACTTGTGTTTCTTTCCAGAGTTAATGACTTTCTCAATATATGTATTTGAGCAAGACTTTCCAATGGAGTTCAACTAGTAATACAATCATATTGTTCTTAATACCCTTCATTAGCTATTTACAAGGAATAATCTGGACACCTTCTCTCGTAATTTCTAAGATTTTAATAAGAGACTACTGATTACCACAGACATACTGTAAACAGTGCAATGGAATTTTAAAACTACTTTTCATAAACTCCCACATGAATTTATAGTCCTTAAATGCAGGACTGAACACTATTCTTTAATAAAAATGTGATCTTCATTTGAGGATTGGGTAAAGACAGCAGATCCAATAAACCAGAACCTTAGATCCAATCTTGGCACTGTTTCGGGACCACCATGTACCTTTGGGAAAGACTGAAAACTTTGGGCATTCTTGGTGTCCAATCCTCCATAAGCAGCCTCTTCTAGAATGGGAGGCAGAGACTGCCACCTCCTCTAGGCTACAAGAGTTCCATAATTCGGAGAGCTGGATTATGTCAAGGGCACACATTTCACTGCTATGTACTGTAATGAAATTTGATAGACCTTGCAAAGGTGGCTATTGTGTTTCAAGGTAAAGCAGAGTTAAGGTGAGGCAAAGAGCTAGAGCCAAAAATGGGAGGGTGTATGTGAGTCCAGGTCAACATGTTCCAGTGAGGAGAAAGTGAATGAGAAAAAACTTCTGTAAGGTGCTACTTAAATTACTGAGTGTCTTTTATTAACATGGAGTAAGTAAGGTTAGGGGTCTGCAGTCAGGCCTCAGACTACCTATATGACCTTGGGCAAATCACTTAACTTTTGTTTACCTAGGTGCTTCAGTGGATAGAGTGCTGGGGCTAAAGTCAGGAAGACCTGAATTAAAATTTGGCCTTAGACACTTGCTAGCTGTGTGACCCTGGGCAAGTCATTTAACCTTTGTTGCCTTAATCCACTGGAGAAGAAAATGGCAAACCACTACAGGAAAACCCCATGAATGATATCATCCATGGGGTCACAAAGAGCTGGACACAACTGAACAACAACAAGGTTAGGGGAGGGAGAAAAAAAGAAAACAAATCTTCAGCTTGACTTTCAATTCTCTCCATAATTTGGTTCATATCCAATCATCCAAAATTACTTCTTATAACTTCCCACATAAAGCCAACCAAATGTATCATGCTCCCCACCCCAATATATCATTCTCATTCCCACCTCTAAGCCTTTGTTCACTATTCCTTTTTGCCTAGAATACTCTTTTCATTTATCTAAATTCTGCCCATATTTGACAGGGTTGTTCTAAGTAAGTGGCTTTGTGCACTTAGTGAATCATAATGAAATGTGAGTTACTCTTCCTCTTCATGACCAAATTCAAGTCCTATAATAAAAATGACAACAGTACCTGAGACATTTCTATATTGCTTTCTGGTTTACAAAGCTCTTAACATGTATGGTCACATTTAGTCCTCCTCAACCTAGTGAGGAAAGCTGTACATCTCTCACTTTTGTAGATGATTAAACTGAGGCCCAGAGCCTCTTGGTGGCAGAACCCTGGATGAAATAAATCCTAGGTCTTTGGTCTCCATATTCATTGCTCTTTCGACAATACCAAGCTGCTACTTCAAACCCCTTCTATGAAGAGGAAAACCCCTTCAATGGAAAGGGCAGAGGATTTGGAGTCAGTGAATAAATTTATTTTACTAATAAATTGTTTTGAATTTGCCAGAGAATATGCAAAATGAACGAAGAGGCTTTTCTAATATACAAAGGACAATCAGCTTAATCATTTGATGAGAAGACTCTAGACTCTAGTTTGAATTTTAAATTTACTTAAGGTGATGAGCTAGGGGAGAGAAAGGAAAAAAAATGTTGAACTTTGGGTAGGGAAAGAACTAAAAAATCCCCCCTCCCCCCCATTTTGACTCTGGTCAAATTCATTCATTCGCCCACAGATTTTATAAAAATGTTTAGTAACTGTAGTTGTGAAAAATCCAAATACTCAATTGGGACAACATATGACAAAACAGGGCTATTTTTTTCCTCCACTGCATGCAATGGCGAAACAACACTGGGACAGAGTGACACCCCCTTCAAGGGTAAGGAAGGACTGTACCTTATCCTACAGTTGTCACAGTACCGTTCAGGGGAAGCCTGACTAGGGCTTAATAAGTCAATAAATCAGCATTTATCGACACACCCCAATACTAGTGGCACAGCAGTTGTAAGGTAGGTCAGGATCACTTCGTATTTGTACAGAAATGTTGCTTCATTAGTTTATGCTTCTTCCAGTGGGTCTACTCTTCATTTGGTTTGTCTTCAGCTCTGACCAATGTCAGGGTCACCTGGTGCAGAACATTAGATTCTAAATGTAAGGGCTTGTACCTTATACTTGAGGAATTCATTGGGCAATATGGACAGACACTGAGTAGCCTTGATTTGGCTATCAGTCACACTTATTTACTCATTTCAGAGTGTAGAGAAAGAATAAACAAATGAAGTCAAGGGCGCCCAAAGCGAAAGGTTGTATGTATCCGACTCAGGAAATCACAAACGTCTACCGAGGATACTCAAGAGATTATTATACATTAAACATATCGCAGTTGGCAGCTACCATATGGCGCTGGGATGGCGTGACCGATAATGAAAACACAAACCAGGGATGTTCCTCTATTCAAGGATAAAAGCAACTAGACCTTAGCCTCAAACCTCAAAGATTACTGAAGGAATTTCTAAACTGAAAACTGTTCAGTGTTAAGTGACACTAAAATGACCCAAACCAGAGTATCTTAAGGGATACAGCACAGGGAAAAAAGGTGAAGGCACTATTCCTGACTTTGAATTACTTAAATTTTAGTGAAGATAAAGAGATTCAGTGACCAGCAAATATTTATGGAATGCCCATTATTTCCTCTTTAGGCTTTTTTTTTTTTTGAGGCAATTGGGGTTAAGCGACTTGCCCAGGGTCACACAGCTGGTAAGTGTCAAGTGTCTGAGGCCAGATTTGAACTCAGGTCCTCCTGACTCCAAGGCTGGAGCTCTTTCCACTGCGCCACCTAGCTGCCCCTATTATCATCATTATTATTTTTTAGGGGGCTAGGCAATGGGGTTAAGCGATTTGTTCAGGGTCACACAGTAAGTGTGAAGTGTCTGAGGCCGGATTTGAACTCAGGTCCTCCTGAGTCCAGGGCCGGTACTCTATCCACTGTGCCACCTAGCTGCCCCCCATTATTTACAAGGTACAATACTAGGCGTAGTGGAAGAGTTAAGACTTGTAAAACTTGGATCCTTGTCTTGAGTACTTCTCACTATGGATCAGACTTTACCCATGGGAGGTCCTGAATAAATGTTTGCTGAATTTAATTACAATCTATTTAGAGACATGAGACATATGCCTGCAAAAATGTAAACAGGAATGTAAGAAAACCAGAAAAGAGATGACACAAAACATTGCCCAAGAGAACTGTTTGTCTGTCCATCTGTCTGTCTGTCTCTCTCCCCTCCCTCTCCACACACATATGTATATGCAACAGACTATATATACACATATATACATGTATATATACACATATTTATATACAATATATATTATCTATCTATATATACTATCTCTGTATATACTGTCTATGCATACAGCTGTAGTTATACACACACACACACACACACACACACACACACACACACACACACACACACACAGAGTACATTGATGTGGATAGACAGATAGATTATATATTTTCCAGGTTTAGAGGGGGGTGAGAGATGACTAGGGTTGAAACAATCAAATACCAATACAAGATCAGGAATGGCAAGAAAGAAATCAGTGTGGGGCTGGAGTAATCATAAAAGACTTTTTAAAGGAGGTAGGGTTTGATTTGTACTCTAAAGAATGGCTACTATTCAAATGAAAAAAAGCAAAGCAGGAGAGCAATTAGGACTGAGGAGGAAGAAATAGTATGATCAAAGGCAAATGCAAAAAAGACCATTTCTTTTTCTTGCACATCCCAATTCCCCTCTCTCTTCTCTTATACAAAGAGAACTGCTGTTCCAGCTTTGGTGACAGTCTCTGAGGAGCTCAAGCAGGCTCAGCAGGGACCAATAGCAAAATACAAGTGGCAAAGAGGGAGACAGGTGTTAATTAAATTGCAGGTTCCTAGAGAGTCAGTGCTAAGGTTGGGAGAGAAGTGGAAATGGGTCCTACGATCCCCAGTATAACCTCAGCACCTAGGGCAGCTTTGGAAGGGTAGCAGGCTAAATTGCTTCTCGAGTTGTCGAATATTTCATGCCAGGGGCTTGGCAAGGTTGCAGTGTCAGCATCAGCAGCAGGGAGGGAGAATGGAGGCAGAGCACCTTTTTCTTGCAACTGAAAATTGGTTTCTCAGTCTCTGGATGGGAATCAGAGAACACCAACCCAGCTGCTTATCCCAAGACGGGGATTGGTGGAAACCTGAGAAAATGGTTCTCAACTCAACCAGACTCATGAGATTTGGCAACATCCTGAACCAGCACAATTGAAGGAAATAAACAAGTTTCCACATCCCTAATGTGAAATGAAAGCAAATGAAAATTAAGTGAAAGCTGTGCCACTGTAGATATTTGAAACAAGACGACTGGGTTCTTCGAATGTCTTCTGCCCTCGCCCCCTCCCTTTCTTTTATCCTGAGGAAGAAATGAGGGTCCATTACACAAAGCAGTGATCCATTTTCTATTGAGAAGAAAACTGGCTTTCCC